ACAAAATGTGAAGACGGGGTTAATTTTAAATCCTTTCTGCATGAAGATTAGACTTCTAAGGCTTGAGTTTATGGCAGGAAGGGGGTTAACTGATAAGCATTCCAGATGCAAGCTAGGAAAACCCCTGGGGACTTAATCCCTGACCATTTGGCCAAAAAAGCTGTAAATTGGCCAAACACGTGACCTCCCCCCTTTACCATAATAACGAGTGACATCAGAAGCGTCAGGAAAACCCTATATAAACTGGAAGTTTGTACCGGCACTTTGAACAATACTTCGGTTTTGTTGTTCCTTGCATGCAATAAACTAATCTGTTTAACTTCATCTTGGGATCCAGAACCTTATTCTTTCTGTTACAACAAATCTAATACAAAAAAAACATTATCACACTCATTGAAACATTATTGTACCACTTCTCTATACAGGATCACGGTTCTCATTGTTCCTTTTGTATGTGTACCAGTTACCAACATATAACAGTACTTTGGCTTAGTTGTACAAAAACACCAAATAACTTTATAAGTGGTGCCCCACATTTATATATAGTGTGTATAAAGACATTTAGTGGACATAAAATGTCCTAGGATTACAAAGCAGCAATGCTTTCTTTTTTAGTTCTAGTTGATTTAATTGAAGAACACACCTAAAGCTGCAACAACTACAGACAACTACAAAATCTAAAATGTAGTGTGCCACATCCTCAGATTGCAATCATAAATAACTGATGCTTTTGGGTAATGATTCAGAAACCTGCAAGGTGCACTCATCGTGGATGAAAGGAATACACTACATGCATGATTTGCCATGATTTGATAGCTTCAGAACTTCATTAAATTAAAAATCAAATTAAGGAGAATGCTTCTTCAACTATTACACAGTAGTAAGTAAATGAAAAGGTCAATATACATATATTTGTGAAATAACAAAATATGCATGACCGCACGCATACTGCATACTTAAACGTCACAGAATTTAGTTAATGACTTGTCTGCTGTGACCTTAGAACATATGAATTGTTCTGACTTTAAGGTCCAGTTGTACAACAGACAACCCTTGAATCCTATTTTAAAGGATTTGAATGACTGAGTCATGTCACTATACAGTTACACTTGGTTTATGGACTAATGGGGGAGAAGGTGAGTCGGTTATTGCTGAATGTCTGTTAAATCATGAATGTTTTTAGCCCCAAAACACACTATTATAAAAGAATATACTATATATGTTTTCTGGACAACTCACATCATTAGCAAGTTGTTATAGCAGGGAAAAGTCTGGGATTTCTGATTTTATAGACAAAACATTTACTTTATACCAATATAAAACCAATGTACTCATCTTAGAAATTGTGAAAAAGTGAAATGCTTAATATATAGAAGCTGCAACCGTCACTATGAATATAACACATTAGGTGTGTACAGTACATTCGTGAGGGTTCAGTTGTGAATAGCCAAATATGCATATAACCAAATCCTCCCCTATACGTTCACATTATGTACAAGAGTATATTGTGTGCCTGTTTAAAATACATAAGTAGCCCCCCCTTACGTGATACTTAAAGTACTAAGGAATTGGCTTTGTTAATTAAAATAACATTGTTTGAGTAAATAAAAAACAATCATCATACATTTTTTAGTAAGCGGGTAAAATAAACATGAATACCTCCTTTGTGTCCAGCCCGCACTTTCGTTTTTTGCCTCTGTGATTAGCACATGCCACTGTAATGAAATAATAAAACTAACACAGTGCCTCTAAAGTCATTTCCAGCCTGTCATTTCTCCAAACACCGCTAACATAGAACCCGGAGTGTTCATTAGAAATGATAAAAACAGGTAGAGCAGCAGATGCTGGGTAGTAGGTACTTGGTAAGGAGACAGGGAGAGGATCATTCACTAGCTGGATTTGACTTGCAATCCTAGTCTGCTGCACTGCTAATTTTAAAGTTGCAATTAAAAACCACCCTGCTCTGCTCTCCTTCAGTACAAGACCCCATCACCCACACCAAATCACAAATAAGTGAATTTGAGAATGTTAAATTTGCAGACATCGAGACCCTACTGTATTATCAATTCAAATAAAATGAAACAGAAACACTGAGATGCCAATTAAAGTACTGTAAGCATGTTATTACTAGACAAAAAGGGCCAGTCCTGTGTGAAAGGTACTTACACTTTCATTACTTCCAGTAGAGGCCTCTCTAATCATACACTTTTTTGTGCCACACAAGTGAATAAAAACATACTCTTACAAAAGTTTTATACATAAATCAATGGGTGTGCTTTAAGGGATAGTTGTACAGAAAACAGATGTTCTGTTTATTATCACTCAAGTCCTTAAGTCCTATATACGTATAAACTGTGAAATTCAAGAAATAGGATCCCCATTAATTATTTTTTGTAGTACACAAGACGTTGCATTTTATCACAGGTCTATGCAGAGCAGAGCTTGTATAAGTGTGAGCAAATTTGTAGTTTTTTTTTAAAACATTACTACCAGCATGTGGCATAATAATTTATTTTAAGGCCAGGTGCCAAACTGGACTTAAAAGTTAAGGTGTATGCTACAGACTCTGGGATTCTCATATTAATTATATTAAGTCTTTTTTTAATGACATAAAGAAATGGAAAGGAAGATGTGGTCATTGTGAGAAATTGTAACTTCTCATATAATTGGGGAAACATATCATAATATCACAGCTGCTTAATGGTTCTCTCACCTGTTTTCCTCATTTTAACATTATGTTTTTATGAGAAAGATATTGCTCCTCTAGAATCAGTCCAGAATAAATTGACCACGTATATTCCCAAACACAAAGGAATGTTATGCATTTTTAAGGTAAAAGAACATTTTTTTGTCTTGAGCACAGATTACTAGGAGGTACCTTGGTTTAAGTATTCAGAGGTCCCAGGCATTGACAAACTTAACCCTGTTCAGAGTCAACAGTATTAATACATACCAGAAGACAGAAATGAAAACTAAGGGAAAGTGGTTTCAAAACTGGAACAGGAACAAGCTCCTTAGTCACATTGTTAAAGCTGATAAAAGTTAAGAATCGATTAGAAAAAAACACACAGTTCACTTTACTGGGATGCAAACCTTTCTTCCATCCCCCCGTTCCGTTGATCGATGCCAGTCCATTACAGGGCACATAAAGACACAGTCATGCACACATTCACACCAGGGCCAATCTTCCAGAAGTCAATTAACCTACCAATACTGTGGGAGGAAACCCATGCAATCTTGGGGACAACATACAAACTCCATGCAGAGAGCACCCAAGGTCAGATTTAGGTCAGATACAAGGAGTAAGATTTAAAAAAAGTAAAAGCAAAGTTGTTATCTGAAGTAATACTAAAATTTAAAATATTCAAGGTACCTTCTAATGACAAATAATTTATTAGGGAAAACCTTCCACGAAAGCAAAAATCCAAGGAAAATACAATACAGAATTCTAGTTTCATACAGTGCTATGGTCTCTTTTGCCTATATCTATAATTTCTCATTCTTTGCCCGACATCCCACTTTCATTTTATTTTCTACTTTCTTTTTCTACTCTGATCCTTTTTTTTCTTCATTACATAAATGATTCGCATGCATCCTTCCCTTAAACCCCTAAAACAGATTTTCACCATTTTAACAAGAAACACAACAAGCAAGATTGGTCTTGTTTCTTACATTTCTTACATTCTCCTTGAACCTTATTCAGGTCCATTATACATTGTTTTAAAATATCGCATCAAACAAAAATGATGTTTCAATGCGTCTGTAAGATCTTTTTAAAGGTAGAAATGAGGTTTTGATTGCACACACAAAAATGTATTGATCCACAAAATATTTTCTCTACAGAAGTCTCAATTAGAAGGCTGAACAATTAAGTGGAAGACTGAAAATATTTAAACTGATTAAGTTTTTCATGGATTGTTACAGTGGATATGAGACAGCATAAATCCAAGAACTTCAAGACACCCTGGACAAAATTGGGCATTTCAAAGTACTTTTAAGATCTTGAATTCACAAATTAAAAATTCTAGGCCTCGAATGTTTTTCAAGGACCTGTGTAGAATCTAACCCTAAACAAATGGAGAAGATTGCTGGAGGACAGTGTCTTTTTTCCTACTATTATTTAAGCTGTGCAGCTGTCATGTTTGCTTTCTACAATAAGTAATTGCAAAGCTCTCTGAAACGTAGCCAAGGTGATGCAAAAAGAAAGGGTGCCATAAAGAATACAGCATTGTATCAATGGAGCTAGAAAATTGGATTCTTTTGAGTTTAATAATAGATAAGCCATAATGCACTTCATCCCTCAAGAAAATGGAGAAAAATATTAAAGGAATGATCATGAAAATAAACAGACTAATACAAGCTCTCACTACAAATCAAACATCTTCTTGGAGGTCATGAAGTCAGAAAATAAACTGTTCAGTAAAATTCTAAACAGAATGCAATTGAGAAGAATCCAAAGCAACAAGACATCATTACTTTAATAAACCCATAACTAGGATGGCAACTTTCTAAGTTTATGTTTTGGATTGCTTTCAAAATGATAACTAGTCAATACAATGACACACTTATTTTTTCGCCACTTTAAAAAGGTCTTAGTATGCTAACAATCAATTTAGAGTATTGTAAGATATAAATGTACTGAGAAAATGCAAACAATAGTCATTCAGCTCCTGTACTAATACAAAAAGCTCTCTCCTGAAGTGATTAACTGAAGTGATTGAAGCCCATGGTAGATTTAATATGAATGTCTAAAAATGAATAATTATATGAAAGTTATCGGGACAAACAGAAGAGCTCCCAGAAGAGCACTAGCCTACTGGGTGAAAAAAAAACTTACACAAATCAAATAGGCCTGAATAACAATGTGCTATTTAAAAATAGTTTTAAGTTAGTCTGTTAGTCTGGATGTTGTTTTATATACGCAATAACAGATTTGCATTACACAGTACTAGAATTTAGCTTTACCTATTCACTTCTACTGTGAATCAAAATCCCCTTACCTGTGTATGCAGTTCTTTAACTCCAGGTACGCCATACCTGCAGCAGCATCTAAAGCAAACTTTACCAGCTGTTTTGTTTTTAGATCTTCTTTTTTCTTCCTAAGAAAGGACAAGAAATCCCCCCCTAAAAGGGAAAAAAATGATGCACATAATCAGGTTTCATAGAACTCATATTGCTCAAGAGTGAGTTATGTGCTAAATAGAGATATCAGTTCACTTTTTGTTTTATTTACCAACACAAATTGAGTCAAACAGTTATTTTAATTTACACTGCAGACTTATGGCCTAGTGTTAGCCTGCTTTTAATTTGCAATATTTTGAATTATTTTAAGTTGACTGTTAATATCCATGTGTATTTCACCTTAACCTGGTTTCACATGAAGCTTGAATTTTACCTTTTCAGACAATGTGCTGTACATGTATTGCAAGATTGTACAATTTGATCATAACTTCATTGTGGGAACACAACTGCTGTTATGGCCCTGAGCAGGATACTTCACTAACATTGTAACTGTGAATGACCAGCTGTATAAATGTGAACTCTTCCATTGTGATGGGAGATTATTGTTATCTAAGTCATCATTGCAAAAGAAAATTTATTCTTGATTGTTGTAGATTGTTAAAGAAAGGATCAAAACTAATTTTTGCAATATGATGGCAACTTCAGTGTGACTTGCAGAGGAGAGTAAGACTTCAGAGGCCGTAGCCATTTCAACACTTTTGTTTTTTGTCAGGTGTGGGCAATATATCTAAAAATATTCAGAAAGAAATCTGAGCTGCTAACATAACATAATAAGCTAGTTACAGTATCTTTGAGCATTACACAAAGCCTGTCAGAGCTGCAGACAATAAACTAGGGTGGTATTATAAAGGGGTGTAATTATACATTGAAGCAAAACTATTTCAAAGGAAAGACTGGCAATCATAAGAAAGATGGACATATGGCCAATTATGTTTGTTTCTAGATGAGGACAGAATTATAAAGGGGACTGCAGTCCTTGGTTGCCCCAGGAGCATAGCAACATTCTCATGCAACTGCATTCAAACACACTTTGGTCGTTACTCTATCATTTCTCCTACCAGTGCACCCTATCATCTAATTGATCTCCTCTATTTAATACAATTTAAGCCACTTGATTGGTGCTCTGACATTCTGAGCTATTTTCAAGAAGTGCTACACTTTGTCTCTGCTCTGAGAACACATCAACCCGAGACCTGAGACCCGTGTTCTAGCAACCAATCCATAGGCATTTTCTCCAACCGAGACCCGAGTTCTAGCAACCGATCCAGAGGCATTTTCCCCAACTGCCTGCTTTTAATGTTGATAACTCCTTCCCTGTGTCTGTTATAATCCATTCACAACCCCATTTCTTTTGGCTGTCTACAGCAAGTCCTGAGTGCTTTGACCACTTAGCCGTGGAGGATCACCAAGTCCCTGCAATTGGATCCCTATCTGTCTGTAACCATGGCAGTCTGCAACACCAACACCCAACTACCTTGTAACCAGGGGCACACATCGTTTCTTTTATGTATTATGGAATTTTAGTTTTTGTTTAGAAACATTTTTATATTATTATAAGTTTTCTATTGACTATAATGCAGCACCAGTACAAAGAAGCAATGATATAATTGGCAGATGGTAATTGTCAATATAATTAATTTTGTGAGGCAGCAGATCATAGACGGGAAAAACTATTTTAAAATGTTAGCAACTAGTGTACGTGAAGGATTTGGGGAGGATGAAAATTTGTAAGGTAACAAAAGGAGAATAACAATGTTGAATGTAAAGGAAAATCTATAGTATTCAGAGGTATTTAAGGATTTAGAAGAACAAAATATAATTAAAATTAAACACAATATAAAAGAAAAAACAATTTGGTGAGATAAGGTTGTTACTCAAGTGATCAAGATCACTCTTTTTGAAACTGTATGCTGGAAGATTCAACTTTGATGAAAGTCAAGGGAAGTGGGCTTCGCCTTTAGGTACAAGTTGAAAAGGGGCATGAATTACAGGAAGAGAGTTGGAGACTGACATTATGGCATTTTGAGTGGATATGGGACATCAGTAGTGTGATCTCAAAGCTGAACATCGGTATGAAGGACAGCAGATGATTGTGGTAACCAAACAGAAGAACCTGAGAGACAGAAGCTGAGGTTGGAGGCTTGTGCAGTATCAGATTCAGTGAACATGGAAGCACTGCAATTACACATTGGGCGTGCTCGTCTCCTTTTGGCAGAGCAGTGGCACTGTGGCTAAGAATCTGCACCTGTGGCTGGAAGGTTGCTGTTCAAATCCCGCGGCCGGCAGAGGAATCCTACTCCATTGGGCCCTTGAGCAAGGCCCTTAACCCCAGCTGCTCCAGGGGTGCTGTATAAATGGCTGACCCTGCATTCTGACCCCAAGTTTCTCTCCCTGTCTGTGTATCTCATGGAGAGCAAGCTGGGGTATGCAAAAAGACAAATTCCTAATGCAAGAAATTGTATATAGCTAATAAAGTGATCTTATCTTAAAAACTTTTTCAAGCCAGTCAGTCAAAAAGGGGAGTGGCTCACTTTTGACAGTCAGTCAAATGAACTTAGTAGTGGAACATTTGTAGGCTCTATTTAGAAAGAACAATCGAATAGACAAAGAACAAGATATTTCATACATTTACTGAAAAATATAAATGGAGAATTTTCAGTTTCAATTTAGACTGCAAAAAAGCATAATAATGGTTTTAGAAACAAAATAGTGCAGAGAAGCCAATGAAACAAAAGAAAGAGGTAAGTGCAATTGGGGATTCTGGAACTAATCAACTGTCTTGTTGCAAGGAGCACAATACCATACAACATCAGAAAAAAGTTCTAGTTCATTTAAATGCCACATAGTGCAAGTTAATAAAACAAGTCTAATCTACTTTATAACGATCATATAGAAAGAACAGAAGATCTATGAGGATAGAGCCTTTGTGTTTAGGCCTCTCAGAGCATTATACAGTTTTTAAAAGCACCTCTAATGCAAATATAAAAATATAAAGTACTTTTTATGTAATTCCTTTAACTAGATTTGCATTTGAGTTGATTATAATCACAAGAAAAATGTTCAGTTACAATGCAAACCTGCAAGTTGTTAAAAAAGGCAGCGAAAAATAAAAGCAGCTTGGTTAACCATATGTAAAGAATATATGCAGATGCAGAAATTGTTAGTATTCAAAAGCGCATGGATGACAGAATTTAATGTTACAGAGTTTGAGCATCAATGCTACATTTTGGTGTATCCGATGAATCAATAGGGTGATTTAGGAGGAGGCTAAAGTGCTGGCAACATGTTATTAATCTTGCTGATGGAGACAAGGAGAGGATTAAACAGCAGCACATAGCGAGTAAGAAGCAAGGTAACTACTGGGTAAAAACAATTTAGGGAGCAGACTACATTCCCAAAAATTTGAAAAAAAAGATTTATTTTCTTTTTCTCAGGTGACATTGATAGAAATAATAAGGATTAGCCATCCATCCATTTTCTTATCACTTCATCCAATACAGGGCTGTGACTGAGCTGATGCCTATCGTAGCAAGCAACAGGCTCAAGGTGGGGTACAACCTTAAGGGGACACCAGTCCTGCAAAGGGCACGCACAGACACAGACACGCACACACAAGGGCCCATTTCCTCAGAGGTCAATTAACATACCAGTATTTCTTTGGACTATGAGAGGAAACCGGAGCACTTGGTGAAATGTCATATGAACACTGGGGGAACACACAAACTTCAAGCAGAGAGCAACACAGGTTCAGGACTGAACCCACTATAGCACAACAGATAGAAACCTATATTTATAGGAAGCTGCTATGATCAGCAAACCACACCTTGTGTATAAAGATAAGGATGTCATTTTGGGATGAACATTGATCGGCTTAATATCTAAGCCATGTTTGAAGAGCACTTATTTGGAAAATGATACTGTTCTTGCTAGAAGAGAATAGGAGGAAGCTGTAGATAAAGCACTGGCCATAGCCATGTGGTACCTGAACAAAGGAGAATGCATAAAGAAAAACTGATGGCTGATTTACAGCACAAAGATACAAGAATGATGGGTGCTTCTCATAGTAGAGAGAATTACAAATACTCAGTGTAGAGTGTAATGCAAATTGATATCTACAACATAATACGTTTGTGGATTTGTATGCTCAATCGTAATATGTTTGTAGTGAACATGTAAAATGAATCACATCAAAGAGATTACTTCAGGGAAAAACTTCATAACAGACGTCTGTTAGAAATGATTGTATATCAGGTAAAATAGTTCTATATTACAGTGCTGTAGTGGAGTAGTGTAGTGTAGCACAGTAGTGATGAGAAAAAGTTTATGAACCACCAGTATTATTATAGGAATTTCAATTTCTTACCATAATACCCTTGTTTTATTAAAATTGTCAAGTTCGCCAAAGAGTATTTGCACAATCCACAAGACCACTATAAAAACGTGCACTGCATAGAACAGTCAAAATGGCCACAATGAAAAATGTTTTGTGTGGTGAAAACCAAACACGGCCTCCCAACAAAAGAACCTCATCATGACCATCAAACATGGTGTTGGGCTGTTTAATCTGCCAAAGTATCCAGATGGTTTGCCATCACTGTTGTAACCACGAATTTGGCATCTGTGCCAACAAATTCTACAAGAGAACATCAGTCCAACCATTCAGAAGCTGAGCCTAAGGTGGTTCACCAGCAAGACAATAATCCTAAACATACTAGCAGATCTATAACAGAATGGATGTAAAAGAACAAATTTCGCATCCTGGATTGGTCTGAACCTTAACCCCATGAAAATAATACAGCAGGTCACTTGCATTTGAAAGAGCAGCTGCAACTCTGTAAGTGTAAATGTGGTTTTGTTTTATTGTTTTTTTAAATGAGGTGGTGGAGTCAGACAAGAGTAGTCGAAATCAAGCTCCAAGTAGACATCAATAAGTACTAGGGGATATAAGCCGGAGGGAACAGGCAAAAGAAGAATGGCAAGCTGGCAGATTCACGCATGCAGTGATAGTGCAGCAAGTACAGGAACAAATCAGAATATGACCTGGAATTATAACCTGGATTGAGAACTGAAGTCTTTCTTCTGAACATGTGTGGTCAACTCTAATTAAATTCAAATATCTTACAACAGTATTTATTGTTGACCTTTAACATCTTTGACTCATAAAGGTCATTTTGTGTATTAAAGTTCTGCTTAAAATATTCAAGGTAAAAAAACATACTTACATCATGTGCGTGATGTACAAAATGAAACATAATTAAAAGGGGATGAATACTTTTACAAAGTACTGTATGTCATGCAGTGAAAAGACTTAATGCAGACTATCCTGAAACATCTGTATGTGGTATGATCCTATTAAGGGTCAAGTTTGACACCATATTCAATGATGCACAAAGGAATATGCAATTTTTCAGGAAAGGACAATGCTCTATCCATGCCGGGTCTTCTTTGTTGTTAAATATTTCAATACAATTATCAAAATCAACACAATTATCAAGTTATGACATAATATAGCTACAAAAACGAAACAATAGAATGTGTGAGAATGTGTGAGTGTGGTGTGTTTAAAGCACAAAGTCAGCTCCTAACCTCTAAGGTAAAAACTCATCATGTTGACAAGGTGTGCTAAGTAAATTCATTTCATACATTTTTTATACACTTTTTGTAATAGATTACAAACCTGATAATTTCCCTCCATGACGATACCACCTTTTGTCTAACTACTGTTTTAGCATCTGGTATAGATGTGATATTTTTTTTGCTGGGTTTATCCACTTTTGTGTAGTAAACTGGAGGAAAAGGCTTAACGAAAAAATCTTTGTGAGTAAACACCTCCTTGACATGAGCAACAACTATAGCAGCTTTCTTCAGAAAAAAAAAGTTGGTAATTATTTATTTATGGCTCTAATTAATTCAGCATGTCAAAGCACAGCCAACAACATTTATTTGAAAATAACAGCTTCCTTCCTCTCCTTAACAATTACCATATTTGTACTTTACCAAGTTTCTGTTTGACATATAATGAACTCAATTCATTATCTGACTATGAAACATAAAAACTATGAGTGCGGATGCTCTGGAAGGTTACTGGGGATTTCCCTCTGCAATTTTTGCTCCAATTTTTTTTTAATAAAACACAGATTTAGTTTGGCTAATATGGCTGATTTCTATCTTAAAATGCCTGGAATAATATGACATTCATTAGGTGAACTGTTACAATATAATGAATAAACTTATCTTAGAAAAAAAAGAGCTCATAAAGGCAATAAAACACAGCACTGTTCTGTGGGACTCACAAGATTAAGTTAAAACAGCAAAATACTCCATAACTTGCGGAATTGACTTACACAAAAGAAAACTATAGCAAATATTAAAATACATATTTAATTAAAGTAACTCACAACTATTTTTAATGTATTATGGTAAATAAATAATAAACAATTTAAAAATCAATTAAACTATCAAAGCAGCAATGAGAAGAAAATGCAGGACTATAGACTTTTAACCGCACACAAAATGAAAAAGTAATTTACCTGGTACAAGTTCCATTACGATGTAAATAGGTTGCCTCTGTGTGCAAACTCCTATTAACTTCACAATATTTGGGTGATCATACTGCTTAAGTATCCTGTTAAGAGGCAAGATGCAAAAGAAAGGAATCACACATCTATGAATTGTCATTAACGTCTGTTGATTTGAAGAGTGCAATGGATATCCCATGAATAAACAATTTTGAAGAAACACACAATCTGGAACTCCCACACTTCAAATTACTATAGTATAGAAACTTGAAATCAATTTACCACAGCTCATTCTTATAATGAAATTCTGTTCTCCTGAAGCGTAAACTTCAAACACGATCAACTGTATATCCAATCAACTGCCAGGGAGTTTCCATTTCTTACCTAACACTATTTTTGGTTTTAAAATTAAAACTATAAAAAATGTGTCACGAAGGGGGCAAGAAAGTTGTTCACAAAATACAATATGGTGTCTCGTACAGAAGTCAAGGCATATATACTGTTTATGTAGGGATAGAAGTTGGCATCCACATAATTAGCAACCCTAATCAAAGAAAGAACTATGTTAATTCACCAAAGGCAATAACATCTCCTATTATACTGATGCCAATATACGTAAGTTAACCTCCTAATATTGATTGAGTCATTTAAGCATCTTTCTGGGAATTATTCTGTACTACATATCATCCCCACTTCAGTAACATAGGAATAGAGCAACTACATTACACACTAAGGGCCATATCTTTTTGTTGTAATTCCAGCAGTCAACTACATATAATTTTTTTCCAATTTTTAAAATGTTAAAATTATTTATTTATGGCTCTAATGAATTCAGCACATCAAAGCACAGCCAACAACATTTATCTGAAAACAGCTTCCATCCTCTATCCATCTAAATGATTACCATATTTTGACTTTACCAAGTTTCTGTTTGACATATAATGCACCCAATGGGGCATCATAATTCCGTATATAACATTAACCTTATGCTCCTGCTAATGTAACCTTCCAATTTCTTGCCTAAGATATGTACCAGGGGTTTACAAAGTACTTTGTGTTACACATTAATCTGAGGTGCATTGTGTACTAGATTTAGAATGATGTTAGTTTTTAATTTTGATTAAACACATTTTCTGCTTACTTAACGCATAACTACTGCATTGTATTTTATTTCAAGTAGATATACAGTACACAATTCATGAATAGAATTTTTGTGAGGTTTCCATAGAGGTCAGTAAACTTTTTATAATAAATAGGGTACTCTACCCTTCTTAGGCTTCTGGAAAAACACTTACACCAACTGACTTCCAACACTGAATGTTTGATATTTATCTTCTCACACATATTTCAAAAGGTTGTTTACTGAATAAACTGTCCTAAACAAAACCGGTATCCTTTGCAACAATAAATGTGGCTGTATAGGAACATATAGAGGTGGTTTATAGAGGTGGTTCTAAAACTGCAGTGAATTTTGCAGTTAAAAATAATCCTAAAGTATTACCTTAAAAAACAGTATGCTAAATTGTAGTAGCTATAGTGATTTGATTTAGTATGTTACAATTATTCTGTAAATATTAAACTGTAGTAGATACTGTGTTCTTTTCTTTATATTGTTGTAACTGAGAGTATTTTAAAGCTGCTTAGTGATGGCAATAAATGTCAGCTAAACACGTTGGCACTGAATCACTGCATGGAAACAATTAACCTACTCACCTGGCTTCTGATAAGAATTTTATTTTCAGCTCCTGGGGTAAGTCTTCTTTACATGTTTTTACTGCAACGGGAGTTTTGTCTTTCAGTGTTCCCTTAAATACTTCACCGAAATTACCCTAACAAAAAAAAAACAGTTACCCATCCATTTTCTGATCTTATCCCGCATACAGCAGTTGCAAGTGCTGATATACTCTTGATGGTACGCCTGTCCATCACAGGGCAAGCACAGCCATAATTATGCACACCTCACACTAGAACAAATTTTCCAAAAAGACAATTAACCCACCAGTATGTCTTTGCACTGTGGGCAGAAACCGGAACATCTGGACGAATCCCACGCGAACACGCAGAAAAGGTAAAAATCACGCAGATAGCACCCCATGGCCGGAATTCAATATATCACATACAAAGTGAATATGTTTTAAGTCCCAAACAATTATTACCAATACCAATATAATGTCAATTTAGGATTTATTTGTCAGCTGTTTAATTAATTCAAAGAGAACACAAATGTAACATTAAATCATTTGTGGTTGAAAATTAGCCATTCTCACGTAGCCCCTGAAAATGTCTAAAAGGTAAATGGACTGAATGCAAGGTCATGGGTTTGGATTCAGGACAGTAGATAATAAGCTTCCCTGATTAATAGTCAGGACCTAAAATGTGACCTGATGACTGATTTTGGTTGCTTCTGAAGCAGGTTCTGTGTAAAGAACCCGTGTAAAGAACCTAAAGAAGCATTACACCTTGTCAAAGTATTAAATATACTGCTGAATGACATTTGGATTAATTAGAAATAAATTGGGCACTACTCCTAGATCAGTTTATACAACAGTTTACAATCAGCTTTTCATCAAGTGACTAGGGCTGAAAGCCTCGGGATAGGATAGTACTTTAAACTGAATTCTGTCAAAGTAAAAATACTTACTTTGCCCAGTAGCTCTGCGAGTATTACATCTTCATGATTAAGAATCCATTTCTTATCCTAAAACAACAAAAGTCTCATTTAGGAACAAATTCCAAAAGCTAAAGTGCATTATACATATATTTGTGTTTGTTACACATAATCACAGTATCTATAAGCACATTTTAAAATACATTGTGGGATATTAATGATGACAAAAAGCAACACCCTAAGTGTTCAAAGTTAATAAATAACAGATTACATAACATTTTGGTTGTTGTGGTCTTGTACATGTATACATTTGTGAAAGAACGCCAGTGTGGATCAAGGTCTTTCATAAATCAATGTGGTATCAGGCATCATGAAACATATGTATCCCGCATATCACATTAACCTTATGTGCCTGCAAACAATCTTCCTATATCTTACTTAGGATCTGTAGTGGAGGTCTATAAGTAGGTTCTTTGTTTTCAACATTAGTCTGTGATGCATCAAGTATTAGATTTAGAATGATGAATTTTAGTGCATCAGACCAAATGCATCAGGAACACCCACATTTCAGAGGATTCTGATAAATTTTAATTTTTTCATATTTAATTTCTAACTACAGTGGTGAGAAAAAGTTCATAATCCCTTTGCTGTATCTGTAATCTGTATTCCTGAAGTATTTGATCCTAAAATGTGATCTGATCTTTACATCTGTCATAATAATTGATCAACATCATCTGATTAAACCAATAACACCCAAACAATTGTACTTTTTCTCATCTATACTGAACACATACTGAATTGTTTAAACATTCACTGTCTATGATGGAAAAATTATCTGAATTAGTAAGTGGTAGATACTCTTTTAGCAGCAACGACCTTAACAAAACACTTCCTGTAGCTGCTGATCAGTCCTGCACATCAGTTTGGCCCATTTCTCTTTATAGAACAATTTCAATTCATTGATATTTTTGGGATGTCTTGCATGAACGGCATGCTTCAGGTCATGCCACAGCATTTCAATTGGGTTAAGGTCAGGGCATTCCAAAATGCAAAATTTTACAACCATTCTGTAGATTTACTTCTGTGTTTACAATGATTGTCCTGCTGCATGACCTGGCTTCAGATCTCAGACAGATATTCTGACATTCTTGTGTCAAATTTGCTGATATAATTTGAAATGCATTGTTCCCTCAATGATTGCAAGCCGTCCAGCCCTGAGGTTGCAAAGCAGCCATGATGCTTCCACCGCTGTGCTTCTCGGTTTGGATGATGTTTTTGTGTTAGTATACAGTTGTTTTTTCTTTCAAACATAACGTTGCTTATTTACACCAAAAAGTTCCACTTTGGTCTCATCTGTCCATAGAACACTGTTCCATAGTTCTGTGAAACATCCAGGTTTCCCCAAAGTTGGAAAGCTTTTTGACAAAATTCAGATGGGTGGCAATGTTGGTTTTTGGAGAGCTGTGGTTTTCTCTATGGGGTTCTCTCATGTTCAGTGCTTTCCTTATTGCGGACTCGTGAACACAGACATTAACCAGTGCAAGAAACACCTGCAGATCCTCAGCTGTTACCCTAGGGTTCTTTATCATCTCCTTGAGCATTGAACAGCTCAATGCAGTGATTTTTGTTGGATGGCCTCAACAAGGGAGAGTACTAATGGAACTGAATTTCTTCCATCTGTACACTATCTGCATAGACTATAGATTGATGTAGGCCTAAGTTTTTAGATTTTTAAAAAAACTATTTTCAGCCTTATAACATCACTTTATTAGCCATATACAATTTATAAGGATCAACAACTCTTCTGAGATCCTGTGAAACCTCTTTTGTTCGAGGCATGTTTCACTTTGACAAATCTGTGTTGTAATTGAGCAGGTTCTGTTTGTAACCAATCATTGTGGGTTATTTTATAGGGCAGGGCACCAGAACTGGTCATTATCCTAAAGGTTCACATACTTTTTTAACGTTATTTGTTTAATCACATTGAATTTATCTATTATAATGATTTATATGAAGATCAGATCACACTATAGGAGCAATTAATACAGATTATTCCAAAGGGTTTACAATCTTTTTTCTCACAACTATACAGGCTCATAGAGTTTATCTTTTAAAATCCACATTCTGAGTATTCTGTTGTAGCAGTTAAAGAAAACTTTTTTTTCCCCACAACGAAGGAATCCATAACTGATAAAAATGAATACATCATAAACTTTTGCAAAACTATGAATAACTCCTCTGTTGCACTTTGCTTTTCAATACTATATTTTCTCATCAGAATAATCTTAAATCAGTCAGTTTCTGGTATCTATTTGAGTCTAGGTATAGCAAGAAATCTTTTTGATACTGTGACTCCTTTTCTATCTTTGAGTTACATTCTGCAGTGTGAGGTATGGCAGCTTCTTCCATAAAAATATTGTCATCATTTAAACATACTGAACAAATGCAAGTGGTTCAATGAAAAAGTTCTTGCTGAATGACACTGCTCATCCTTAGCTGCTGCCAATTGGACAGAAGGGAGATAATTTCAAAAAGCATGTGGGAATCTGTATTGCCTATAGCAACCAACAACTGGCATTGCCTGGGGGTTTAGAAGTCTTTTGCATCTGGGTGCTTTTCAACTATATCCCAGACTAGGGAAATAACACTTCTTGACTGGCAAGGATGTCTGCATATACTCTTCCACAGTGTTCCATTTGGCCTCTGTCAATGTTGGGAAAAGTTACTTTTAAAAAGCAATCTATTACAGTTATAAATGATTTTTTTAATTACTGTTTAAATTAAAAAGTTAAAAGAAAACAATTTATTAATAAAGTCATTTACAGTGATATATATATATAGTGTGTGTGCAGTTACCATTTAAATATATCACCTTAAGAACAATTTGCTCAAACTAATCATTTCTCATTAATGACGTACCAATTGTACATTTCTTTATCTTGTGCATGTTTCTTATTGCTTAAAATCCCATTTCCATCAGACAGAAACAACAAATTTGAATTTCTGGAGTGTTTTTTTACTTCCATCCATCCATTATCACCAAGCATTTTATTCTTTGTAAGGTTCACAGCAATACTGAGCATATCCTAAAAACATAGATCACAAGGCAGAACTACACCCTGGAAACACTAGTCCAGCACAGGACTCTCTCACATACACATACACATACACAGGGATAGTTCAGAGATGCCAATCGACCTAGACAGCATGTCTTTGGTATGCTGGAAGAAACAAGAGCAGCCAGACACAAATCACATGGAAACAGGCGGTTCTGGAACACAGTGGAGAACATGGCAATCTGGGGTTTCCAACTGAAACAGCAGCTCCTACATGCCTTTTGTGAAGGTTGTCAGGGCTATTGTGTCTCATCATTTTCATAACAAGAGAATCAAACAAGTCATTCTGAGTCATTCTGAAAAGCCTGGTTAACCCATTTTAATAATTTTAATAACTGTGAAGAAATAAAGTCTAATAAATCAGACTATGTAGCAAGAGACTATCAACAAATATTATATTAAAATATTTTCAGTAATTCTTAAAATATTGCATTTTCATTAATTCTAAAATGTTATTATTCTCACAATATAAAAATATAATTCAGATATCATACTAAATCCCCCCCCAAAGTTGGAAAGCTTTTTGAAAACACTGAACACATAATCTAAAAATAAAATTGTCATTACCTCAGAGGTAAATAAATCAAATTAAGAACTATTTTTCTTTCACCACTAATGAAAAATAAATCACAGTTTAATCCAATATATTTTTGAATAAAATGCCAAATAAAACACTGCAATCAATGTGTAGCGAAAGGTGTAGCAAGATTCACAACCAGACAGTAGCTGAAGAATGAAAGAAAAAAAGACAAAAATAAACTGCTCTTAGTGGACAGTCTAAGTGGATTAGTAGATTCAAATTAATAATTGCTTACACTTATATAGCAATTTTCTGGACACTCCATGCAAAGCACTTTACAGGTAATGGGGGACTCCCCTCCACCACCACCAATGTGCAGCATCCACCTGGATGATGCGACGGCAGCCATAGTGCACCATAATGTTCACCACAAATCAGCTATTAGTAGAGAGGAGAACAGAATAATGAAACCAGTGCATAAATGGGGATTATTAGGAGGCCATAAATAGTAAGGGCCAATGGGAAGCTTTGCCAGGATACTAGGGTTCAACCCATATGCTTTTCGAAAAAACCACTGGATTTTTAATGACCACAGAGAGTCAGGTCCTGGGTTTTACAGCTGTTTTTTACAAAGGATGGTGTCTTTTTACAATATAGTGTTCCCATCACTATACTGGGGCATTAGGACCCACACAAACACCCACATAGGGTGAGCGCCCCCTGCTGGCCCCCAAAATTATCCAAACTGCAGTGTGATGGAGGCTAAGAAGAAATCCTGCTATATTTTCCTTCTCCCACAGTGTCATATCATTACAGACTAAGAAATGATATAACACACTCCCTAAGGGAAACTCCAAAACAGTTATCTGAAATCCATAAACAAATTCCTACCAAACAAACGGTTACTTAAGACAGCTTTTACTAAAACAAAACACTTGAATTATTTATCCAGTCTCTCGAAATAAA